TGCAAGAGGGGCTCCGGCATGGCCTTAAGGGTGGGTTTTCAGACTGAGAGTGAAGTGGGAGGGAGAGGTTACCTGGGAGAGTAGAGGTGGAGTGAGGAGGGCGGACTTCAATGGCCGGAGAGGGAGGCATGCCCACCAGGAAAGGCAGGCGCCCCTGCGTCCTTGCTGTGAGCGCCCAGTAAAGGTTGGAGACCACAGTTCGGTAATGACGCCAGTCTGGGCAGCCCTGAGAGTCTCTCCCCTAATGGCAGCCCTGCCTCCCACCACCCACTCCTGTGCTGAAATCTTCAACCAGAAATGACCCCAGATGACAGTGACAGGTGCCTCATGACCAGATGCAGTTTCCTGGGATGAGCTTCCTACAGTCCTCAGTGGAGACCTGGGACAGAGGCCTTGCCGTGGCCTCTGGGGTGATGGTGGCTCCTCTCGGAGGCAGCCAGGCTCAGGCTCAACCTGGAGGAAGTTCCTGGGGTCAGGCTGGAGAGGGGCAGACAGGGAGTTTATTTTTAAACCCAAGTGGGCACTACAGCTGCCAGGGAGAAGCAGACGGTTCTTGAGGAGAATAGAGATTGGCAGCTGGTCAGACACTTGTCAGGAAGCCTGTAGGCTGCCAAGTGGGCAGGGGTTCAGGTGGCAGAAGGCCAGGGCTGTGCACGAGGGGTCGGAGTGGGGGGTGGGGCAGTTAGGACTTCAGAGCCCAACCGGAGCGTTGCCTAAGAAGGCAGTGGGGGCCCCCGACGGAGCCCAGCGGCCAGGGCTGCCCGAGACAGCACAGGGCCAGAGAGTGCTGGACTCGCCATCCTTATCCCTTCACCCCGGCTCGGTCTCCATTCACGGTCAGACGGCCCCTGTGAAGAGCTTTGTGGAAGAGCAAAGGGCAGTCAAGCGTGAGGGGTGTCAGGTCAGCATGCTGAGGGGGCCGAGTGGCACCTTGTCCCCTTATAAATAGCCGGGCTGGAATGCGGCCTGTGACGGGGTGGAAGGCTCTCGCCAGCGCTCTGCGTGGGGGAGATTCTCCACGGCCTCCTGGGCCCACCCCCCCCCCCTGAGGCAGGGAGACCTGTCTCCCCCAAAGGCCCAGGGCCGGGCCCTCCTGAGCGCTTCGCCCTGTGCTAGGGCTGCCAGGGCGTTTCTGGAGCATCACCAAGGATGATCTCCAGGTCGTCATATCTTAGGACTCTTAAAGGACACGATAGCAACAGCTTGAGCCATGACGCTAACCAACTTGCTGTCCTGCCTTCGCCTTCAGCTCAGAAGGCCTATCGGCCCCGTGAACACCAGAGGGGTTCTGGGTGTGGTGGGCGGTCCTCCGGGGCCTGTGGGAGGCGGTGTGCAGGTCTCACTCTCTTAAATGTACCTGTGGTTTCTCAAGAAATGAGACTGAAGCTCCACCTTCAAAGACCAAACGTTGAAGCCGTCACTGACTCACCCACCAAGTCCTTTAGGCGGGAGGAGGCTTGCTCAGCACCGAGCTGTGGGGCCAGGGCTTCCTCTCTCGTTTTCCTTTCGAAAAGGTTAATGGAAATCTTTCATCTACAGCAAGTTCCTGGGGGAGGGGAGAGGGGGGAGGGGGGCAGAGCCTCATTCAGGGCCGGGCACATCTAAGTCTCTTACTAAGTCAAGTTACAATCCCCCCTCCTGCCCAAGTCACCCTGGCTCCCCGCTTGCCTTCTAGAAAGCACACACAGATCCCCTCTGCCTTTAATGAGGTCTTGTCCGTGGCAGCTGATCCAAGTCTTTCTCGCTACAGTTTGTGTCCTCTCTTCTGTCCCGCCTTATTTCAGTTTCCTGGGCTTAGCTATTGCTACTGAATAGCATCAGTTATTGTCTAGACTCTAGACTTAGAACCTATCGCTATCCAACATGGTAGCCACCGGCTGCATGTGGCTATCGAGCACTTGACATGGGGCCCTGGCCCTGGGGCGTGGGGCTATGATCCGGGAGCTCCCAGCTGCTCATTCTCCCCAGGCCCTTGCCGGCTGCCGCTATTTCTTGCTCCCAGTATCTCCTCTGTCCTCCCGGTCCCATTCCCTGTCCCCACCTCTCTCACTTATCTTTCCCCTGAACCAGCGGGACTCCCAGAGCCACAGTCCCCCAGGCCCAACGTGGTCTGGAGGGAAAGAGGAAAATAATACCCTCCTGGCTCAAACTGGGTCCCCAGCGGGGAGGAGCGCCCGCCTTGCCCAGTTCCTTCCTGCCCCGGGTGCAGCAGGAGGCAGCAGAGGTGGGAGAACAAGTTCCCTGTGGGCCCAAGAGCACTGTGCCCTGAGGCGGGCAGTCTCAGCCCCCTTTCTGGGGTCTGAGAGGTGCGGACGGGCCTCTCCGGTCTCCCACCTTTTAGAAAGATGCTTTCCAATTCACTTCCCCGCTGTTCTGCTTTGAAACCAGCGGGCCGTTATTTTAGGAGTGAGAGGAAGCGGAAGGGCCAGACCCTCCACCCAGTCTGTGTCTATTTCCTGGCTGTGGATGGAAAAGTATGTCCTGCCTCCTGGCCTCCCAGCGCCCAGTCCGAGGTGCTGACTTCCTGCCTCCAGTGCCCACCCCCCACCCCCTCCAGCGCCAGGAAGGACAGGGAAGGGTCCCCTGGTCACAGTGCGGTCGCTGACGCAAAGGAGAGACGCAGGTTGGTGTGAGCCCCCAGACAGGATCTTTAATTGATGTTTCTGTCCCTGCCTCCCCACCCCGAACCCCAGATGACATATTTACAAGATGCTATGTGCAGCCTCTAATCGTCCCTGGGCGCTGCCAGGGTCCGGGCAGGAGGATGCAGACAGCTGGGAGCCACGAGGACTGGTCACAGGAAGTCTTAAGTTCTCCACCCCCTCACCCCCCTCCACCCCACTCCCACCCCCACCCCCCCACCCCCGTACGCACACAGTCATGTCCGTGTGTGCAGAGGTATTCACACTTGTGCGGAGACGCGGCTCCAAACGCTTGTGCCGGATGCATCGGCCACCTGTGTGCACGTGTGCACCACTAGAGGGCGCCTTAAGGTATCGCAGCAATAGTGCAAAACCCAACCCTCGCCCTCCTGCCCCAGCTTGGGGGTGCTGGTGTAGCAGGACTGGCTAGAGGGGTACCCCACACATCCTCCTTGCTTGGGCAGTGCCAGCTGAAGCTCCGTATCGAGGACCCCACTGTCGCCGCATCAGCCACCCGAAGGGTGTCCATGGGTCAGTCCCCAGTTTGCCCTGAGGGGGGTGCAGATAAACAGGGAGCCGTCTCCTCCATGATTCCCCTTCAAAGATGCCCCAGAAGCAGAGGGACTGAAACAGGCAGCTCAAAGGCCCGGGGTGTTCGGGAATCCCTGCGGAGTCAGGGTGGGTATCCCTGGGGGGAGGGGCTCCATTCATTTGTGGCTTTCATCCATAGGTAGTTTGACCCCCATCTTGCCCCTGCCAGCTGGTCTTCAACAGTCAAGGAGCCAGAGCTCCTCTGTCCCAAGCGGGGGTCACGAGGGAAGGCCATGGGCAGGACTTGGTTTGGAGGAGGACTGAGCAGCTCTGCCTGGCTTCCACCTGCCTGTCACTGCAGTGGGCGGCGTCAGAGGACATGGGGGGAAACAACTGTAAACTTACTACTCGGCCCTGGAATTGGGTGAGGAGTGGGATGGGTTTGACAGGGCCTGGAGGAATTTTCTAGAAGCTGAGGTTCATATGTGAGACCCGCCTTTTCCTACCTCCTTATGCGCATCACAGGCAGAGCCCCTGACCCTCCAGGCACTGGGCCACCTCTGGCCTTCCCTACTTGGGAGAGTCCTCCCAGACCTCTAGGCCACACCAGGGGGCACCTAAACCCTGAGTCAGCCCCACAGTCACCCTTAGTCAGCCCCACAGTCACCCTTCTGGAAAGGGGGAAGGTGCCATTTTATTTCAGGGACTCTTTTGTAGGCCCTCGAATGCATGCATCCTGGCAAGGACAGCAGGATGGTCATTTTAGAATTAAAGACAATCTGGGACGTGTGGTCGCCGTACCCATAAGCTAGGCGTGGGCACGGAACAGGCAGCTTTGGTTTGGATCAGCACTCAAACTTCTCTCCAAGCTCAGCGGGGCCGAGAGGGGGGAGCAGCAAGGATGCCGGCCCCTACCTGGCTTGGGGACGTCCGTGTTCAGTGAGAAGACCCCAGGCAGGTGTGGTCATCCCAGGGGATGGCCATGCCTCAGTTCCTCCAGTCCCTCTCACAGATTTCAAAACATCCCCACAACTGCCTGGCCCCAGCACCCCCAGAGTTACATTCATCCGTTAAGATTCAGTTTTGTTTTGTTTTTTTTAAAGTAGATGTCAGCCCCCTCTCCCCAAGTCCCAGAAAGCTAAAACCCTGTCCCAGCTGCCTGGCTCTGAGGAAGGGCCATCCCAGGCCATGCCCCTTGGGGCATCCCTCTAGCCTCCCTCACCACCTGAGCTGTGGCAATCTGATGATGGAAGCTACATTCACACAGGGAGAGTTGGTGTGCAAGGCCAAAGCCACATGAGGTGGGGTGGGGGACCCCGAGGGAAATGGCCCTGGCATGGTCCACCCTGATGGTGTGAAGGGCAGGGCCACGGCCCCCCACCCACACCCCCATGGGCCGGGAGTTGGAAGGCTTGGGCCCGGAAGACATTGCATGGTGCCTCCCTCCATGGCTGGGAGGAGGCAGCCTCCTAGTTCATGGCTGAGATGTGGGCGCCAGGCTCGGAGGGAGGGGTGGCACTTAGGCACCTCCGGACCTGGAAGGCAGACGGGCATGGGGGCATCATATGAGGGAGGGCCCAGAAACAGACTCCTCTCCTCGGCCCCAAGCCGGGCCCTGGGGGCAGCAAGTCAAAGGCTGGCCAGGGAGGGGAGCTGGCGGGAGGTCAGGCAGCGGTGACATGAAAGACAAAACAGATGGGATGCAGAGGGAGGCTCCCTTCCAGGGGAATGGGGGCTGCGGAGAGCGGGGGTGGGGGTGGGGGTGGGGGCACAGCTCCAGCGTCTCCCTGGCCAAGAGTGGTGTGGCCGTAGGAAGAGCAGGAGCAAACGGACCGGGGCCTGAGGGGATGTTTGGGCAAGAGGAAGTGGCAAGGGCAGGCTAAGGACTTTCCTCTCCCACCCCTGCAGGGACAGCAGTGACAGCGGGGGTGGGGGAATCAGCCCTGAGCTCCCATCAACAGAATGCGAGGTGACAAATGAGATGGAGACAGGGACAGCGGAGGGATGACGTGGCCAGCATCACACTGCCCCCTGCTGGGTCGGGTCATACCTTCCTCGTCGGATGTTTCTTCAGGAGACAAGCAAAGGACAGGCAGAGAGAGGAAGGAAAAGAGGCCATTTGCGACCTCCTCCTCCTCTCAGGGAGGGGCCTTCAGTTCTCATGAGACCCCCTGCCCCTGAGACGGGCCAGCGGCCCTGCGGCCTGGACACTAAGGACAGGCCCAGGGGGAGATACTGGGTTTGAGTCTTGATTCTGCAACTCACTCACTGCGTGACCCTGGGCCCCAGGCCCCTCCTTAGCTAACACTGAGGGGGTCAGACCAGCTCCAGGGCCCCGACTCAGGTGCCCCCCGTCAGCTGGGTGGGGCCTAGAGAGGGAGGACACGGCCCGTCTTGGGCAGCGCTGCTCAGCAGCTCTGTGGCTGGATCACACTGAGGCTCAGTGGGGCCCCAATTGTCTCATTTTTCAAGGGAAGCTGGAAATCAGCATTGTTCATGTCAAATCTCTGCGTTTTTTAAATGTGAGCAACTAAATGTGTGACCATGATGTTTGAGCTCTGACTTAGCTAATCGCTCAGAGAGGCCCCCTCCGCTCCAACAGCCTGGGGTTCTGATAATCCCCAGGACACGAGGGGATGCAGGGGGAGGCGTCTCTTACTTAAATCCCCAGCCTGTGCCGCCCAGGACGATGGCTGCAACCAGGACAGCCCCGGCAATGGAGCCAATGATGATGTTGGTGCCGCTGGGACCTGAGGGGGAGGGCAGGGCTCGGTTGGCAGGGACAGGCATGGCAAACAGAGAAGACAGAGCCCCCCCTCGGCCAGCGCCAGCCTCACCCTTATATTTCTCCGTCTCCCCCGTGGGCGGGGACGTCGGCAGGGGGTTGTGAATACTGCAGTCTTTGCCCGTCCAATCTGGCTGGCAGATGCACTTCCCTTCGTTGCTGCAGACCTAGAGGGGGGGGTAGGGCCAGTCACGGTAAGCAGGGCCCTGTGCCCTCTGGTAAGGCTCTCCGGCCATCCCAGGCCTCCAGGCACCCACCCCGTGGTGGGAGCAGATGCGGCGCTCCCCACTGCCCGGGCAGGTGCTGAAGTTGAAAGCAGAGGCTGGCAGGCAGCGGTGATCCAGGCACAGCATGTTGGGCCCACAGGCTGTGCCGTCCTCCACGTAGCTCAGGTCTGAGCCATCGGCCAGCTGCACGTGGCCACCCCTGGGGAAACAGCAGAGCAGCCTCCGCACATGCCCCACCCCCATCACAGCTGCGGCCGCCCTTCCCCAGCCCGGGTCCCAGCCGGCACCTGCAGTCCAGCTCCTTGCCCTGGTGGTAGAAGGTGACACTGCTGATGTCTCCTCCGAGGTCCCCCAGCCGAGGGGCTCCGGAGACGTTGACGCAGAGGAGGAAGCCACAGAGCACGTCCCTGGTGGGCGGGCGGAGACAGTGAGTCCGTCTGACCCCTGGTCCAACTTGAATTTGCCTTCTCCCCACGCCCTGATTTTTACATATTCTCCCATCGGGACTCACAGGCATATCCTAGAGCAGTGATGGCGAACCTTTTGAGCTCGGCGTGTCAGCATTTTGAAAAACCCTAACTTAACTCCGGTGCCGTGTCACATATAGAAATTTTTTGATATTTGCAACCATAGTAAAACAAAGACTTATATTTTTGATATTTATTTTATATATTTAAATGCCATTTAATAAAGAAAAATCAACCCAAAAAATGAGTTCGCGTGTCACCTCTGACACGCGTGTCATAGGTTCGCCATCACTGTCCTAGAAGAACCTACTGTTCCATCTCTGAAAACAAACAAGCAAAAAAAAACACAAAACCAAACAACCCCCGGCCCCAGAGCTGGGGAGACTCAGCCAGGAGCCTTGGCAACTCACTGCTTATTGCACTGGACCCAGCCGGACCCCTTGCGCCCACAGTTGCCACGCTCTGTCCCCTCCACGTTCAGCTTCTCATAGCAGAAGCGATCGGCAGCCACTGTGAGACGGTGATGCCAGGTGTCACCCCAGTCACAGAACCCACCCAGCACCTCAGGTCTGCACCTCCAACACGATGGCTGACCCCCGGTCCGACTGGGACCCCAAGAGCCTGGGGAGCCACACCTTTGGTGGAGGGTGTATTTAGCCAGAACCTGCCCCCTCTTCAGACTCTTGGTTCTGGGTCCTCCAGAGCCCCCTCTCCCACTCCTAGCCAGACCCACCGTGGCCCCACAGGGCTTGGCACTGCCGGTCCCGGGTTTTGCAGCGACCTCCGTAGCAGCGGCCCTAAGGGATTACAAGAGACAAAAGGGACTGACACGCTGCCTGGTCAGAGCGGAGACAACAAACTGTACTGAGCCCGAAGCTCCGAGGGGGAGGAGCCCCCCACCATCATACCTGTTCATGATCACAGTAGTAACCGTCCAGTTTGTGTAAGTTGGGGGGACACTGCAGAGAGAGGGGCTGGACTGAGCAGAGCACCCCAGGACTGAGAGGCGAGGCTGGCCCCAGGGAGGAAGGAAGGGGTGGCCTAATGCCCCCCAAGTGGGGCTCATGTTCAGGGTTCTTCCATGTCAAGAACAAGGAAAGGTCTGGATTGGAACCCAGGTGGCACAGGTGGCAAGTCCCGCAGCCTCTCCGGTCTCCCTGTGTCCTGCACCCACTCCCCAGGCTGGGGAACTAAATGCCTGACATGTAAGAAGGACTTGAGAGATGTTAACTAATATTACCGCCCACTCCGATCCCTAGCGCACACCAGCACGGCTGCCGACGCTGGGAACGCCAGTCAGACCACAAATACTGGTTTATAATGGAAAGAGTACAGCCAGGAGGCACGGACAACCCGTTTCTCAGATGAGGAAACTGAGGCTAATCAGCGGCGGCGACGCCAGCAATGGAACAGAGGGGAGCGGAGAACAGTCGTCGGCCCGACACAAAACGACAGGATGAGGGGTTGCCTCGCCCCGGGTTCTGCAGGGCCAGGCGGACCTGACTAGAGTCGCCAGTGCAGGTCTCCGCGATGTCGCACTCATTCACGGCCTCTCGGCAGGACACACCCCGCGGCTCGTACTAAGGAAAGAAAGGATGCGTTTCAGGGCTCCGGCAGGGATGGCCCCCCTCCCCAGGATCCTACCCCCCCAGATCTGTACCCCCACCCCCACGGCTCTTCTCGCCCCGCCCCACTCAGAGCCGCTCCCAGGCCCGATCTCGGCTCCGCCCCTCCCACTCCTCGCAGCCCCGCCTTCAACAGACCGCACGCCCCGCCCTTCTCCGTCCCCATTGGCGCTTTCTTCGCGCCAAGCCCCGCCCACTCAGCTTGCCCGCCTCCAGCTGCTCCTCCGCTCTAAATCCCACCCCTTATCCGATCGTCAGCAGCGGGGTCCCTCCTGGTCCCGCCCCCTTCCCCCTCACCTTGCAGCGGCGACAGCAGAGCCCGTCGCTGCACATGGCGTCGTGAGTCAGGGTGCACTTCTTGCAACAGTTCCCGCCCGCTCGGCTGCACTCCTGAGGGACGCGGGGAGAAGGCAGGGAGCCCGGCGAGCCCGGACGCTCCCACCTAGGTCCTCCCTGGCGCCCAGCCCCGAGTTCCCCGCTGCCCCCGGGCACAGGCCGCTCACCTGCACAGAACCGCAATCGCACTCCTCCCCGGCCTCCACGAAGCCGTTTCCGCACTCAGGGGGGTCCAGCAGCTGGACGGGACGGTGTGTCAGGAGTCGGACAGTGACCCGCCCCGAGCCTCGCTCCCACGTTCCCGCCCGTGGGCTGGTACCTTGAGGGGCTTGTTGAAGAGGCAGCTCCCGCCGCCCTCCTGCAGAAACTGGTTGTACTCATCGATGCTGCAGCGCGAGAACTTGCGGGGCAGGTAGAACCTGGGCGGGCATGGGGGGCCGATGCCATGGGTCCCGGCCCGCGCCTTCCCTTCCAGCCCACTCTTCAGCCCCTTCTCAAGATTGGGGATGGGCTGCACCGGGGACTCGGTCACCCCCTCGCGGAGGCTGAGGACCTACGTGCACGGAGACTGCACAGAAGTCCTCCCGCCTGCCCGTCCCCTTCCCGCAAGGCCTCCGAGAGTCAGAAGTTGCAGCGCCAGGAGGGAACGAGTCTTAGGCGCCGCCCAGTGGCGACAGTGGGCACTACAGCCTGGTTAGTTTTCGTGTCTCGCAGGGAATCTGCGGTTTCTCCTGTGCAGTCTCCCACAGAAAACTGGGTTTCTTGGTTTTCCTGAGTGGTCCCGACAGCTGAACCTCTTGAGGCCACCAAGTCCAGACTGTCACTCAGTGCTCTTCTGGGATTCTCCTCATCCAAAGCCTTCCCCTGATTTGTTCCCCAAAACTCACCCAGTGTCCTCCATGATGCAGCCCAGCCAGTTGTCTGGACACTTGCAGTCCCCTAAGAGGTGAGCCAGGTGTATGTAAAGGAAGGTGGATAACCACCACCACCCCCCCCCCCGCCT